GAGAGAGAGAGAGAGAGAGAGAGAGAGAGAGAGAGAAGGATTGATTGATTTATAGGTTGAGATTAAGGTAATTGCAGCATATTTATATACTGGAAGTAGCCGACAGAACGGGCGGATTGGATATTGCGTGTTTGTAATGAGGGAGAGAAGGGAATCTGAGGGGTGTGTGTCTCACTTCTGGAGAGTTAGTGGACTGGTAAACCAGGGATTGTGGATATAGAGTGTCCTGTAGTGTGATGCTATTAAGCATGCATGTTTTGTCTCTGTTTTTCAGAAATGGATACAAGTTCCTCTATTGCTCTGCACGCGCTATCGGGATGGCAGACATGACAAGAGGTTATCTGCACTGGGTCAATGAGCGGGGCACAGTGTTACCCCAAGGACCTTTGCTGCTGAGCCCGAGCAGTCTCTTCTCTGCCTTGCACAGGTACTGCCCTCCCACTCCCACATCTTTGGACAGTTGATGCCCACTTACTTGCTAACTGGAAGGTTTTTCAAGAGTAGTCTCTTAACTAGTTGTAATCAACAATATCCACATTCCAAATCAGGCACCAGAAAGATTGTTGTGAAATGCAGGTCTGGCTTGACCACTCCCTGCTCACCACCCTACCTCGGCCCCTTCCGAGATCAGTTCCATATTCATTAGCATGGTGTAGCATGACCCTTCATGATCTGATCCTGCCTCCTGTCCCATTTCGAAAGCTCAGTCATCTTGAGCTGTCTCTGTTTTCCAGAAAGAGAATTCTCTCCTTTGACCTTGTGTACATGCAGTGCCCTGTTTTTCAAATAGCTCGTCTTCCCTTCTGCACACTGCCTGCATTGCCTGGCTAAGTCTTAATGGCTAAATCCTTGAGTATCAACTTGTATCAACCCACTGACAGCACCCATCTGGCCTTTGACGCCTATAACACTCGTTCTGTTTTTTCAGAGCTATAATTACACTTTTTATTTTGATGGTCTTCTAACAGACCATTAGCCAATTTCTAACTAGCCTTTTTCCCTTTTCATCTTTCCAGTTTTATTCAAAGAAACCAAACCAATCTGGCCTTGGCCTCATTAGATTGGGGGAAAGAAAACTTGATGTTCCCCTTTCTCCCAGAGCATCATCTAGTGTGGTCAGTTGAGCCTGCTAAGGAGAATTTTTTGTTGTTATTTTTGTTGTTTTCTTTTTTTAAGATTTTTTAAAATTTATTATTAATTTCAATGAAAATTTACAGAGACTTTGGGTTTCCATTCATTCATTGTTGCACTTTTCTCCCCTCCCAACCCTTCCTCCTAGTAAACTACTCTCTTGGAAAAGTAAAAGACAAATTCTTTAATTGTTTTACAAACACTTCCCCAGGTCCACTCCACTATGCAGCCTTCACTCTGGACTCCTGTCATGACAAAAATACCTAATCACATATCCCTTTTAACAGTTTTCTCCCTCATCTGTTTCAATGAAGCATACATTTTTTTTTTTAAATTATTTTGTGTGCGTGTACCGTCAAATCAGATCTGACTGGTACAGGAGGATATTGCGCCTCCTTCTCCGGCAGAGCATCTGGTGGATTCGAACCGTGTTCCTCTGGGATTGCAGTGCAGCTTCTTGCCACTAGGCCACCAGAGCTCCCTGAAGCATACATTATTTATCCCATCTTTCTCAGTCTCTCCCCAGCCCTGATGCCAGTCCTGTTTTATAACAGTGGCACCATGCAGTATTTGTCCTTTTGTGACTGGGATATTTCACTCAGCATAGTGCCCACCACAGTCACCCATTTTGAATAATATTGCATGAGTTCCTTGTTTTTTCAATGCAGTGTAGTATTCCATTGTGTGAACAGACCACAGCTTCCCTATCCATTCGTTTGTTGATGGGCACTTAGGTTGTTTCCAACTCTTTGCTATTGTGAACAAAGCCGCGATAAACATGGGTGTGCATATATCTGCTTGTGGTCTCTTCGGGGTATATTCCCAGTAGTGGAATTGCTGGGTCAAATGGTATCTCTATTTGCAACTTTTTGAGAAAGCGCCACACCATCTTCCACAGTGGTTACACCATTTTACACTCCCACCAACAGTGAATAAGGGTTCCAGTTTCTCCACAACCTTGCCAGCATTTGTTGTTTGCTGTTCTGTTAAATTTTGCTATTCTGACTGGGGTGAGATGATATCTCATAGTTGTTTTAATTTACATCTCTCTTAGAGCTAGGGATTTTGAACCTTACTTCATGTGTTTGTTAGCCATCTGAATGTCTTCTTTGGTGAAGCATCTCTTCATATCCTTTGCCCATTTTTCTATTGGATTATTTACCTTTATTTTGTTGTGGTGGCTAAGGAGAGTTTTAACTATAAGGTAGTTGTGTCTTTAAGAATGATTGAATGGTTTTTAAGATGCTGCCTGAATTTGGGTCAGATTAGCTTCTTGCTGTTGCTAACTGTGCAAAACAAGGGAAAATCCAGATGAACTCCAAACATTGTTTGATTTACCTTTTTAATTACCTTTCTCATTTTTGTTTTGTATCAATAATAATGATTTTTTGTTTATTTAGTAAAGGAGCTTATATCAAACCTTTTGTTACGTTCTTGGGTCAAAATTCAGGCAAAAGCCTATATGGGCCCTGTAGTATATTTCAAGTCATAAGAACTGTTTTAACAGTGGAGCTTCAAATATGTTGGTGAAATGGTGTCTCCAGTCATGCTGGCTGTTCAGAACATGCTACTAACATAATTCTAAGGCTTTGCAAAGGAAGGTGAAGAGCTGATGTTATTACTCTGACATTCTGCCTCTGAAGAGAAATTTAAGGTGTTACTTGACATTTTCCCCTTTTTTATAAATACCACTTTTTTTGCCTATGAGGGATTATATTTTAAATCAAGCAAGCAAACAAGTGAAACCCCTCACAATTTGCTCTCTTTGGAGATGGAGGTCCTTCTCATGGCACATGGCAAACAGGATGGTTCCTGCTACAACCAAAGCCAAACCCACTGCTGTTGCATTGATTACAACCCATAGTGACCTTACAGGACAGAGTAGAACTGACCATTAGGACTTCCAAGCCTATCTATCAGTCCTTATGGAAGCAGGTGGCCTTAGCTCTTTCTTGGAAAAGGATGGGCAGTTTTCTCCCATGTGCTTAACTGCCTCTGAAAACCCTCTGGAAAGCTATGTGTTGATTCTGATTCACGGCGCACAACAACAACAGCAAGGAGGGACAGAAGCATTCAGCCATCAACACTTAGTAGCAGTGAGGCCACTTGAACCGTGTGCTCCCAAGACTCCTTTCTAGCTGCAGTCGTATCAGAGCCATTACCTGTGTTAACCGCTCTGCAGGTATTCTAAAATTGATGAATAAATCTAGTGAACACAAATGCCCTCATGATTTCTATTAGTCTGCTGTATTTGTTTGCTATGATCTACTGTAAAGAAGTCCTCAAAGTGAGTGGTTTTGACAGCAGAGTTATATTATCTAACTATTCTGGAGGCCAGCAGCTTGAATTAGGGTGTTAGCTCATCCATGGTCCATGCTCTCTCTGGAGGCTTAGGGGGAAATACTTGTTTGTCTCTCCTCGCTTCTGATGGCTCTTAAGTATTGCTCAGCCTGCCGATGCATTGCTATTTCACATGAACATTTTTCTTTTGTCTGACAATTCGTGTCTCTTCCTTTGTTTTAAAATATGATCTCATTTATAGTGAATCTCTAAAATTGAGCTCTGGTAGCCTGGTGAGTAAAAAATTGTACTGCCAACCCAAAGGCAGGTAGTTTGACTCCACCAGCTACTCTGAGGATAAAGAAACTAATCTCTTTCTGTGTAATTTACAGTTTGTGAAAACCTGCTGGTTCTGACTTGATGGCAATAAGAGTGTGTAAGAGAAATCAAGTATAGCTAAATATATAGAAGTAAAAGTAGATTAGCGGTTATTATGGATATTGGATAAGAGGAGGTAGGGGGTCAATGCTTAATGGGGACAGAGTTTCTGTTGGGGCAGTGACAATGTTTTGGAAAAAATTAATAGTGATGGTTATACCATATTGTGAGTGATCAGTGCCATTGGACGGTATATTTTAAAATGGCAAATGTCATGTTATACATATTTTAACCACAATTTTAAAAAACGGTGCTAGTTTAAAAAACAACAACACGCCAAACAACCCAGAATATCTGCTTCAGAGCAAGAGAAAGTCTATATGTACAGATCCAAAGTTTTCAATAATAAAAAGCAGGCAAGATGGCCTGGACAAGTTAAGGAGAGGAAGATCACCTGATACTGTGGTTAAACTGGAAGGAAGTCTTTTAGGAAGGCTATAAACCTAGCTGATTTAGCTTACCAAGTCAATTGAATTTCATGTACCTGCCTGTGCCTCTCCCACAGTCAGAGCAATTGCAGGATTTTTCTCTAGCTTGGAAACAAACAAACAAATAAACCAACAACCCCACCACAAACAGAATACCCTGAAACTTAATTAGGAAGTAGTTTTCTAAAATAATTTATCTACAACTACTTTCCCATTACATTGGATTCTGGAGCAGACCATTATGTGATGGAGAATCCAGCATCGCGTCTCTGTCATATTATGATTCCCAATTTCAAATAGAAGTCCTCCTGCTGTTAGGTTAGTTTCTGTCCTCACCACCTTTCTCAGGATGTATGACGTCATGGGAGGAGACTGCCCTGCATTCTTCCAAGAAGCAGCTGGTAGGTTTGAACACCCAGTCTTGCCGTGGCGCGTGCAGCCACCAGAGCTATTTGAAATGACAGCCAGTAGTATCCAGAGTGTCTTCACAAAGTAAAGATGGAAGATGATGTGAGTTTATAGGGAGGGGGCAGTCAGACTTGGATTGTATCATGAACCAAGTGGACGTCTTCAGCTTCTCGAATAATTGGTAATATTACTAGAGAGAACTGGAAGACATCTTCAAGTTGAACAGTCTTCTAAGGAAACGGCTTCTAATTAAGATATTTTTTTTATACTTTAATAAACTATAATTATAATTCGATCAAGCAGTTCTTTAAAAAAAAGATGTTTTCAACAAAAAGATATTAACAATCAGATCACTTTTTAGCACCATACATTGTTGTTAAGTGTAATCAAGTTGACTATATCTCAGAGTAACCACACCCACTGTGGCGCCACCTGCATGATTTCTGCCATTCTTCAGCCTGTTGCTGCAGTCACTGTGTCAGTCCACCTCATTAAGGGTCTTCCTCTCCTCCTCTGCTTTCCTCTCCTCCTTTCCCAGCATGATGTCTTTTTCCAAGGAGTGACCCGCCCTCACGTATCCAAAGTATGTGAGATGAAGTGTCATCATCTTTGTCTCTAAGGAGCAACCTGGCTGCACTTGCTCCGAGACAGACTTGTTTGTTCTTTTGCCAGTCCATGGGATATTTCGTACTCTTTGTCAACACCACAATTCTCCTGTCATTCGTATTCATGGTACAACTTT